AGGAGGCCTCAGCGGGCTCTGGAGGCAGTGGGGAGAACAGTCACAGAATATCAGGACAGCAACCCTGGGAAGCAGAGGAGGTCTGGGGGGTCTTGGGTGGGTTTGAAGGGTCCTGAGGAGCAAGTCCCAGACCCAGACCCTCAGGGGAGGCTGGAGGCACTGGGAAACTGAGCTGATCGGCCTCCTCTGAGGAGGGCTTCAAGTCAGACTTCAGAGAGAACTTCCTGACAGCAGCAGCATCTTCTTGGACATGAGAACTCGGCCTCTGAGGGAGTCTTTTGCTGTGAGAGATCCCAAGCTGGCCAGACATTCCTGGTTCTGGGCCATGGATGGGAGGATTTGGGGTAGACAGCTGGGCTTGTGGGTAGACCAGAGTGGTCCCCCGAGTCTGTACTAACCAGAACACTGCTTCAGCCTCAGCCCAGGCACGTCTGGGGCTCTCAGGGCCTGTCACCGAGGCTTTCAGGCTGCTGAGCTCAGGGCGCAGAACAGAGTTAGCCCCGGCCTTCCCAGAGCCCCTGGCGTCCTTGTCTGCCCTCAGGGGCCGGGCCATGGCTGGGTGGCCGAGTCTCCCACGAAGCTTCTCAACAAGTTCCAGGCCTCTCCTCCTGTGTTCTGATCCCACCCCCGTCACACCTCCTCCACATCCCTCAGAGAAAGCAGGAAGCCTGAGGGCTGAGGGGGATGGTTTCTAATGGGCTTGTCTCAGCCCTGAGGACTGAGTAAAGGGCTTGGGGCTGCCAGCCACTAGGCCTGGGTGCCAGGTTTCTCCAACAGGGTCAGAGCTGGTTCAAGAGCCCTGTGTGGTCTGAGCCAAAAGATCAGCTAGCCCGCCAGCCTCCAAGTCGCCGCCTTGGCTGGTGGGCTGTCCCCTCACCCTGGGTCACAGGGGAAAGTGGGGCTTGGCCAGGGAACGTGGTCTGGAGTGGCCCTTTGACAGCGTCACTGGGGGCTTTTAAACATGAGTTTCCTGGTAAGGAAGATTCCTCAGGCCTTGGGCAGGAGTCTCAGTAGAATCTCCCGGGTTTGCTCTCATCTGACAAACGCCAGCAGAAACCACCCGGCCGTCTGCGTTCCAGCAGCCAAGTCCCTAGATGCAGTGTCAGCAGAACGCAGCAGCCAAGGCACAAGGATATTTGCTTTAACGACCATGGGAAGCCCCAGGGGCGGGGGGCATGCAGAGGAGAGCCCACCCGTCAGCTTGGCCCTCTTACATGTACCATCTTCTCTGGGAATGGCCAGCACCACAGGTGATGTCAGAGGGGTTGTCCTTGAGTCATGCCAGTCCAGGGCCTCTGTCAGGTGGGCAATGAGTGTCCAGGTGGCCTCTGAGGTTCTGCAGGGGCGTGCCCTGGCTCTTCTCACCTCTCTGTCACCTGCCAGCTCTTCTGGAACAAAGGTCTGCCTGAGTGGCTGGGTCCATATCTGAAAGGCCCATCCTGGGCCACTTCCCAGTGGAAAGTGAAGTTGCTCAGTTGTGTGCAACCCTTCATGTTTCCATGGACTGTAGCCCACCAGGCTCCTCCGTCCATGGAATTTTCCAGGCAAGAGTACTGGAGTGGGTTGCAGAAGGGTCAAAAATGTAAGGGTTGGGGGCCACTAGCTCTTCTGGAATGAAGGTCTGCCTGAGCAGCTGGGTCCATATCTGAGAGGCCCATCTGGGCCAAGGGCCATGGTAGAAGGGTGAAAAATGTAAGGGTTGGGGGAGGAATGGGACTGGAGTTGAAGGTGGAGAGAACCCAGCAGGCCTGATCCCAGTCCCCCGCCCCACTATACTTGACTGTGGGATTCTGGACACCTGTCATGTTGCTTCTGATTGCCTTTTTCCAAAACAGTGAAATGGGCATGGCTGGGAGGTCCAGCACACAGGTTGCTGCTGGCCTGGGGCTGAGTACTCACCAGGGCCCCATCTGTTTCCAGGTAGGGTCTTGTTTCCCACTTGGGGTTGGGGTACTGCCTCCCACCTGATCAGTGCCAGTCATTAAATGGAGTTGTTGGGAGCTGGAGAGGAGAGAGGGTGCTTGGTGGGAGAGCTGTGGAGTGGGCCTGCCCAGGAAGAGCAGCCCCACTGAGGTGAAGCTGGAGCAGAGAGGTTTCAGGATGCTGGAGAGCTTGCACGGCTCTTGTGGAGGGGTAGCGTGGCACATGGGGAAGCCTTTTAGCAGGGGGTGGTATGGGTGGGAGGCCTAGCCCCTGGGTGCTGTGGAGGGTAGGAATCAGGAGACTGGGCTGGGGTCCAGCGCCCAAACTCACTGTCCCAGAGAACAGTGGGGCCACTGGCACGAGGGGCCCTAACCCTGGTTTTTGTCCTGTGCATCTGGTCTGACTTCCAAGTCCCTACTGGGACCTGGAGAGGCAGGAGGCTCACCGCCCGAGAAGGACTTTGCTGGCTACGGTGGCTGGATGGATAAACATGGATAAATGGACAGGTTTGAGCCGCCAGCTGCCGTGCCAGACCATCTGACCCAGAACACCATATGCTGGACTGGGCTTCCAGCCGCTGTCTGCGCTGTGGCTTCCCCAAGTGGGATTGGAGCACCTGCTGTGCTCAGGCCAGAACTCCTGCCCACTAGTTTTTTTCAAGTATCACAGTATTTACTGATAGATAGAAGTATATAAAAGCAGGGCACATGACATATGACTTGATAAGTTAAGTAGAGTTCATTTCAGTATGAAAATAAGAGGGACCAGTTCATACCATTTGTTTCACAACAAGCAAAACCACTTTGCGAGTATTAACAGGCTCTCAAAACTGACCAATTTTGTGCAAGTAAACCATGTTTCTTTAAAAAAAAATTTTATGCTAAAAAAAAATTTTATGCACTCATCCAGAGCCAAGCATATTAAAATCTAGCATATAAAACCTATTACTAGAGGTAGAAACACCGGCTTTTGCTAATACAGTGAAACCCCTCAGTTAAGAGTTTTTCTGTACCAATCGGATGGTTAATGCTCAACAAGTTGAGTGTTACTGAGCAAAGCACCTTCTCACCTGTGCCTTGTTCAGGCATAGGTGGGCCTTGGCCAGACAGTTAAGGAGCAGGAAGAGTGGGGCCAAGGCGGATGGCCTGGGGCAAGGACAGAGGGGTGTGGGGTCCTTGGGGCAGAGCAGGGTATGGTGGCTTCTCCCTGCCCCAACTTGTCCTCAGTTCTGCCCCCCTTTTGGGTGGCATGGGAAAAAGGTGTGAATAGTAGAGCAGTGGTAAAAACAGCAGAGGAAGGCCCCCTGCAGGCGTCCCAAGGTTAAAGTTCACTCTGAGCGCCCAAGAACCACAAAGGAACATGAGTGCTGCGTGCCACCCAGGGGCCACTGAGAGATGCAGGTGTCAAGAGTCCACCCCAGTGGCGAGCACCCCTCCCTCCCGCCCTCCCTCTTATGCATTCTTCTGTTTCTTCTCTGATACACCTGACTCTGGGCTGGGAGCATTCTTCTCCCAATGGGGTACAGGCGGAGGGGCACCGAGGGGTCCCCTCAGTCTGTGGAGTGATGATGTGTCCCACTCGCCCTTCCTCTCTGAGCATCCCAGGATAGCATGGCCCTGTAGACCCGCGGACACATGGCAGGGGTGCTTGTGGAAGTGTTCCCAGGTGTGGCCCTTGCCCTCATTCCCCTGGGCAGCCTCCTTAGCGGACAGAAAGCATGCCGAAGCCAGCCTCTGCTGTCGAGTCGTAATCCACACTCCCCTGCACATGCCCACACAGCTTCCTTCTCAGCCACTGTCCTTGGTGCTGCCATGGCCACCGCAGTGTCCTGCATTTCAGAGTTCAGGAGCAAACCCTCCTGCTGTCTTCACCAGTGCTCTTCCCAGTCTTCCGTTTGTTCCACAGTAATTTACTGAACGTGAAAATGCACCAGAACAGACTCGGTTCTTGGCTCTAGGATACTGCAGTGACCCAGAGTCCCTGCAATCATGGTTTGTGTGCCCCGTGCCGGGTGGGATGTGATGTGTTAACAAAGAAGAATGGCACAAGTGAAGGAAGAGAGTGGTAGGCCTTCAGGAGTGGCTTCTGGAGAGGGGCATTGGAGGAGAGCTCATCACTTTCTAGCAGGGGGACAGGGAGAGGCCCTGAGGTAAGGGTGTGCAGATGCGATGGGGGTTCTGCCTGATGCTCTCCGAGCGCTCTGGCTGTGGGATGGAGAAGAGACTGAGGGGTGGGAGGCACGAGCAGAAGCTGGGAGCCTGGTTGTTACCACAATCCCCCTTGAACTCACCTGTCTGCTTCCCCAGGGCCCTTCTGCTCTGTCTTCTCACCTCTGTCCCTGTTCCCTCACCTCTGTTCAGAAGAGCTCAGGAGAGTCTGTGGGCTTGGCTGCCTGCCTGCAGCTGCTTCTCGGGCACGGCCAGTCTGTCTTCCCAGCTTGCCTCCTGCTCACACCCCTCATTTGCCCTCGGCCACTCCTCGCTCGTGCCATCCTGAAGCTATTGCCTTTGCATTTTCCTGCCCCTGCGTTTTACCTGGCCCAGCCTGGAGTACTCCCTCATCCTCCACCCTGCCTTGGTTCCCTCTCCACTTTACCCGTGGCCTGGGGCATGTCCTTAATTTCATATGCGTCATTTCCGCCACAGGGTATGTTGGCTTGCTCCTCTGAGGCTTTGGAGGGTAGGGCCCATGTCTCATTCTGCACTAAATTAGGCCCCCTGGAGCCCACCAGGCAGGAGATCCTCAAAGGCTGCGGGTTGTGAATAGCATGTTGGGTTGGGGTTTCCCAGGCCTTCTTGTCGTTTGGAGGAACAATGCTTCTACTTGTGCTTGGACTCTGGGCCCCAGTGTACTGGCTCAGGGCCCAAGGGTCTGGAGCATCTCAGGGCCTTGGCCTGACTGCCCTGGAGTAGGCTCTGAGCCAACAAGGAGGTGGAGGTGGGGCTGGGAGGTCAGGGTAGCAGCAGGACACAACGGCAGGGGAGGGGCTGGGGCCCAGAGTTGGGGTGGGGACGAGGACTTGGGATCCTGGGGAGGCTCAGCACGGCCAGCTCTCAGCCTCCACCCTTGGGTTTCAGACCTGAAGCTGCACCTGCAGAGCACTGACTATGGCAACTTCCTGGCCAACGAGGCTTCGCCACTGACAGTGTCTGTCATCGACGACCGGCTCAAGGAGAAGATGGTGGTGGAGTTCCGTCACATGAGGAACCATGCATATGAGCCGCTTGCCAGCTTTCTGGACTTCATTACGTGAGCATCCTCTAGAGTGCCTTTCCTCCTCTGCCTGCAGAGTCCTCCCAGGTTGAGTGGCCAGGCTGGTCATTCAACAGCCCTGGGCCCAGGCCATCACCTATAAAATGGGTCACCAGCTACTTCCTGCTCTCTGGGAGTCAGGTGGCACAAGTGTCCCATGTGGCCATGCTGGGTGAAGCTGCCTTCCCTACACCCCTGGTGTCACAGAGACAAGGGGTGACAGGAGCCATTTCTCTCATTCACCTTGAATATTCACAGGTCCCACCCCCCACCCCCCAGGGTGGGGTCAGGGAATGGGCAGAGCTCTGAAGAGTCAGGTTTTGAAGAGGGACCGTTTAGGCCCTCTGGCCCTGTCTGGGCTGCAGCTCATCTGTTGTCTCTGCCCACGGCCCTGGGTCTCGGGGAGCAGGGGGCAGGGTGGGGAGGGTGCTGAGCACCTGGCCGCCTTTCTGAGTTCTGGCCCAGGCTCCTGTTCTGACGACACTTGGCTGCCAAGATTTCCTGTGGTCTAACCCCTGGGTGCAGGCCTATGTCCACGAAGCTCCTGGAGAAGATGACAGGAAAGGACCCTGGGTCCTCCAGGCTGGGGAGGCACTTGGATGAGGCAGCCTCTGCTTGCCAGGTGTGCCTGTGAGAACAGGAAAGTAGAGAGGCCCCTCTGCCAGGGTGGCCCAGGAGCCAGGGCTTGGTGGACAAAGAGATGGCCCATGCCAGGTGGTTGCCCAGTGCAGGTGGTGGACAGAGGCGAGGGTGGCTGGCATACAGGAGTTCACTCCATGTTGTTGGAGTGTACGCTTGTGTTGTGGGAAGCCTTTCAGGTACTCTTCTGTGTACTGTCTAGCTTTAACCATTCCCTGATGGTGGTACCCCCAGACCCATGGATCTGCACACTGCCACACCTACATTTGCAGGAACAGGGCTGGAAGCCTGCCTCCCAGACCCAGCCAGAAGCAGCCGTTTACTCGAGATGCGTTGCTCAAGTAGGGGCTGTAGCTGAAAGGGCCCTGTCCTGGGGTAGGGGTCACCGCCTGGGACACCCGCAGGGCTCAGACTCTCTCCTGGCCCCCGGCCTCCTTCCGGGGGGCCGCCCTGCTGTCCTGGCTGGGTCTGTGATCACACCGCCCTTGCCTCTGTCAGTGTACAGCCAGCATGGTCACATGGGCCGGAGGCCAGAGGAGGGGTGGATCTCGTGCTGCCGCACTGGGGCTTGTACTGCAGTGCCTGTCTGTCAGTCAGCCCCTAGCCTGGGCCTGTGTGGCCTTCACCCCAAGGCCAGGGCCGAAGGACATACCAGGAAGCAGTGCATTTATTACCAGAGCCCAGCCTTCGCCTTGTTTGCACAGGGCTCCCTCAGCTTCCTGGTGAAGTTCTGGCCCTGCCAGCTAGGCCGGCCAGAGGAGGCTGACCTCCTGCCAGCGGTCGGAGGGCAGATGTCATCCATCTTGCTGCCGGCTTGGCCCCCTGCCTGTGCCGCCTGGCCTGTCTTGGTGCCCTCGGAGACTTGATCTCAGCCTGCCAGGCCATGAAACTGGAGACGACTCTTGAGCGTGACTGAGGCCTCACGGCCGCCAGCTCTTTGCTGGAGGTTGGCTGCAGGCACCAAGAGTGCTTAAAGCGGCCAAGCGCTGTCCTGGGGCAGACTGTCACTTTCCTGCCCCTTCCATTCATGGGTGATTGTGGCTCACAGTGTCCCATCCCCTCACTCCTGCTTTCTCCCAGGAAGGACTCAGCAGCCACGTGTCAGCCCCTCTGAGCCTGTGGCTGCTCGCTCTATGACCTCGTCATCTCCAGTGACCCACTCCTCTAGTCTCCACTTCAGCCACCCCTGTGATGGCTGCCCAAGACCATGTCACCACCTGGAACCGCTCCACCCCTGAAACCGCTGAGTCAGGCACCCCCTCTCTACTCACGGCCTTCAGGCCCTCCAGCCCACTCTCAGTCCCTCGTGGGACACGGGTTTTTGGACTCAGCAGGGTCTGGACCTCGCTTCCTTCCCCACCACCCCTTCTGTCTTGGTTGTCCTCCCTCTGCAGCTGAGGTTCCCTGATCCATCATTCGAGCGCTCTTCTGCCAACATCCGCAGCTCTCTTGGCCGCCCAGCTCATGGTCCCGCCCGGCTGGCAGCTCCCCAGCCCTGGAGAAAGCCCAGCAGCCTCCAGCCTGCAGGCGCCCGCCCCCACCTCCGCTGCCGGGAGCGGAGCCGGGGAAGCCAGTGTTGGTGGATTTTCCCTGCTGCCAGACAGGCATGCTCATCAGTTCAGCTGGCCTGGCCTGTCCCTGCCTAGCTGGCTGCTTGCTCTTCCCACTCAGCAGCTCCCCAAGCTTCCTTCAAGGTGGGTAGACCACCTCCCCATCTTAAACACCATCTATCTCCAGCCTTCTCTCTGGGTAGATGGCCCACCTCTTCACTTCCACATTCTTCCCAACAGCATCTAAAACAAGCTCAGATCTCTCACACCGTTAAAAGCCCATCCCGTGTGGCCTGAATTTTTACATTCACTCTCTGTTCTCTCACCTCCTCCATCCTGAGCCTCCAGCCCACTTCCAGCCATCCTGTCATTCCACCACAAGGCCCTGGCTAAGGTCACCACTGACTTTGATGTGGCCAAGGTCTCCAGGCTTAATTAGGAGCCACATCCGTCTTACCTCCTTCCAGCAGTCTGTTTCCTCTCGCGGTGTCTCTTTGATTTAACTCCTGCCTCCCTGGCTGCTCCTCCTTCTCCACCTCCTCTTCCTCCTTTCCACCTTCTTAACTTCCTCCACCCCGAGTCACCCCAGGAATAAGGAGTGTTGCAGAAAGGGGTGAAGCCTTCCACAGGGGCCTGTCCAAGGGACCTCCCTCACCCTGGGGACTCACCACTGGCTTCTCTGAGGAGATGGCTGTTTGGTTGAGGCAAAGGACATTTGAAAGAAGAATTGGGGGAAGGCTGAGGGAACCATACACGTCCCGAGCAGCGAGAGCCTGAAGCCCCTGGCTCTGTTACCTTCTGGCAAAGAGATACCCTAGACATGTCCAGAAAAGGGAGCATCAGCTAGATACCCCATCATGGGTGTAGAGGCTTGCAGGAGCAATACCACTGCTGTCCACAGACAAAGCTGGCCCAGCTAGGGCAGAGGTTGGGACCTGCACAGAGGTTAATCTTCGCTCTAGCCTTCAGAGTCTCTTAGTTGCCTTTGGAGCTGCCCCAGGATGGTGGGCAGGCTTCTGCAGGTGAGTTCTTTGTCACTGAGGATGTATAGGCAGAAGCTGGGAAAGGCTTCCTCTGCCCTCCCATGATGAGAGATAGTATCCAGTGCTTCTGTAGACCCCAGCCAGCCTTCAGCCAGCACACATGACCAGTGTGAGCTCTGGGCCAGTGCCAGGAGGGAGGGAGATATATGGATGCAATGGGATGGGTGCTTGTGGTGGTGCAGATAGCTTCTGGGGAGGCTTGTGGGCAGCTGCCACGGATGGAATGAAGGGTCACAGGAGGCTTCCTCATTGAGAGGACCCCAGGGTCAGATGGGGTTCGATAGGCCACTCAGAGAGTGGGTGGCCAGAGTGGGGGCAGCTGCCTCATGTTCAGTGGAAAGGCCCTGAGTGAGAGACATCCCACTGAAGTATGCCATCACCAGTCGTGTGGTTTTGAGATGATTCAGCTCAATTTCATGGTGAAAACATGTGATACTGCACCAACAGCTCCTTCCAGGCCCAGCCATTCACTTGCATGTCTGACATGGGACAGAGCCTTTATTAGGGCTTCTTAGCTTTGGAGGGGACCTTAATCTGGGCCATGTGATGATGGCTTCCCAGAGGAGAGTAGGCCCCAGAAGGGGAGCTGGGAGAGGGGCTTGTGGGAGGAGTGTTTGGTCTCTGGGGAGTTGCAGGTGGCCTCAAAGTCCTCTGTCCTTAGATAACTGAGCTTCCCTGGAGGGGGCCATCCCCAGTGGGCAACACCTGGCTACAGCCCAGGGCACCCACTGGCAGAGCCTGGGTGACCCGCACCATCTGGGGGAGGAGAGGTCCCATAGCTGGTGTGCCAGGGGCTTCAGTGTCACCAGCCAGGTGAGGGCAACTGGAAAGAAGTTTTGTCTCAGAACTATGACCTCAAATGCCCAGTGTGCCTCTCAACACACCTGCCACTGTCCCCAGGTCACATTACTCAAGCTTCGGGCTCTGCTGGGTCACAGCAGGCATCAGGTATCCTTAGGTTTCCCAGTTCTGGCCCCCCAGCCTTCACTGTCTTCAGCTACCACCTCTGAATTGATGGCAGGGTCTCTGTAGGCTGGGGTGCCTTGCTCCTGCCCTGAGGGACAACAAGTAATGACACTGTTCTCCTGAGCATGATGGAGAGGGTACAAGTGCTCTGTGATGCCCAGAAGGTTCAGTTTGAGTGGGAGGACCCAAATGGACCTCAGGAGAGGGGCAGGATTTTAATAAGGTGAGGGTCAGGGTCTCACCAACTCTGCTGGGGGCTGTATTTCACTCATCCTGATTGCAGAGGGGAAACTAAGGCCTGACAGGTAAGGCCTGTCTTCTTTCCAAGCCTGAAGCCATAGCTTGATATCTCTTCACTTTCCACTGGGGCTGGGCTCAGTAGGACCCAGATGTGATTGAGCACAAGTACGATTACTAGCAGCCTCTGTTTGGAGCTGTAGATGGGCCAACTGGATGAGCTGGCTGGGGTGCGTAGTCATCATGGCCTGCTCACCAGCATCAGACCTGGCTCGGAGGGCCAAGATGATGAGACCGTGGGAATAAGCCATCATGCTCCAGCAGGTGGCGCCAGAGGGCACAGCAGAGGGACGGGGCTTGGCTGGGGGCTCTGAAGACTTCTTGGAGGAAGTGGCTTTCTGAACTCCATCCCAAGACGTCTGTCAGCCCAAGCTGACTCTTTGAAGGCACAGGGTGAAGGAAGGCCTCTGGACAGAGGAATACAGACTGCCCCACTCCCACCCCAAGAGGGCCTCTTTGGCCTGGCGGGCGGATGCCTGTCCACTCCCCAGCTGTTTTCCTCTGGAGGGAGACGCTGACCAGCTGGAACCTCACTCTGTCCTATTAAGGCCGAGTAAGGGGAGGGCCGGGGGAGTGACTTTCTGGGGGCAGGGAGGCAGCTGCTGAAGCAAGACTACAGCAAGGGGGAGGATTTCCCTGCCTGCTGAAAGCCTTCACCTTGGGGGACAAGCAGACAGCTGGGCCAGCAGCATCTCTGCCTTGCCCTGCCTCCTTTCATCCCACAAAAGGAGATCCTGGCTCTCATTGGGCAGGGGAGAGGAGCAGGGGCTGCTGCCATAGCAACTTTGTCATTGACCTGGGGGAGGGAGCTGCTGGGCCTGGAGCAGGGTCGTCCAAGGCTGGCCTAACCTAGATAGAAGGGGGGCCTTGGAAGGAAGTAGGGGGCTTTACTTGGCTTAGCATTTCTCTTGGTGTCCAGCCAGGACATCTAGCAGGAGTCTGTGGGCAGCCGGCGGTGGGCTGTCACCAGCCCCCACATCTGCTGTCGGTGAATCATAGCTGGCCTGTTCCACATCACTGGAGGGACGGCCACAGAGCCAGACAGTGGAGTCTTCCCACAGGGCTCACCTCCGAGCCAGGTCAGGAGGGCCCTGATGCCAGCCCCGTGCTCAACATACGTGAATACTCTGTGGTACACGGAGTGGGGAGGTTTAGAGAAAGGAAACTGACTTGTGGAGAGTCCTCTAAGAAGACACGGTAAGATGGGGAGTGTAGAGTCAGGGCATGGGGACCTGGACATGGGTGGAGGTATGTGGACACTGGCCAAGGGACATCGTGCTCCTCTGCTTCATGGGGTGACAGGGCCTGCGGCCTGCAATCTCTGCGCCTTACATCCTCTGACAGTGGGGCTGCTGATGCTTGTGGTGTGGGATTGGTTGGATAGTACAGCTCAAAGCAGTAGTGTTCCCCGCCTGCCTGTCCAAAATCTGGTGAGAGTGTGAAAGAGCATCTTCAGGTTTGGCGTGGGATCTCTGTGGCTCTCTTAGGGAGTATCAGTGGGGCTGGATGGGCCACAAGTGGAGTGTTGTGGGTCCTGGGGTGCATGCGATTCTGGAGGCAGCAGGGGCAGGATAGGTGTGCTGTGCAGGGTAGGGGACGATGCGGGCTGGGACTGGCGACCACGGCACAGAACCCTAGTGGGTTCTCTTCGAAATCCCTCCATGCTGCCAGCTGGGTCAGGTCAGGGACAGAAGGCTGGCCGTGTGGGCCCCTCGGCTCGTGGCTGCGAATAGCCTCTGTCTGCCGCCCCCGGTTTGAGGAGGCAGGCCTGTCTCTTCTCAGCACACATCCTGCAGCTGACCCAGCCGGGTTGGGGGCGGAGAGAGGGCAGCTGCCTGGCCCCAAGCCCAGGAGAGCAGAGGTCATAGCAGGGCGCTGGGCTGGGTGGGAGCTGGGGGAGTGTGTAGCAAGCAGGGGGTGGGGGTCAGGTCGGGACAGGAACTGTGGTTTTCTTCTCCTGCCGCCTTCCTGGCAGGCCCTGTGGGAGCTCCCCCAGTAGCCAGCCCTGAGCTGAGGCCTAGGCCACCACCTTCCTCCTTTTCTTCCCTTGGAATTGGGGGCCACTTCCTACTTTGGACAGTCTCAACACTGGGTGCTCAAGTACTGTCGCGGGACAGCTGGTGGCCCACCTGACAGCTAGGTGGGGTTTGTGCTCAGTATTCAGGGCAGCAGCCTCCAGGTCAGCTCCCGCTCTTCAGTTTGAGTCCCTCTCTGGCCCCAGAGCGGTCCCCCGCATGCCCTGAGCTCATCACTGGTGACAAGCCGTAGGAGTGTTGTGGCTCCTGCAGCCTGACTGGGGCCCTCTGTCCCTCTTCACCCCATTTCTCATGCAGGTGATTACACAGAGCTCTGGGCCACGGCCCCTTTGTGGCCTTGTCCTAATGGGCGGAGGCAGAGCTCCTGGCCGAGTCTGAACCCGGAGGCCCCAGCTCTCTGCTGCCCGTGCACTGTCCGCACTGGCCTTCTGGGCTGGAGGGCGCTGACCTGAGCCCCAGCTCCTTCCGGTCTCCTCCAGGCCATCCTGGGTGGATGCCTCACACTGGCCTCAGGCCCTAAAGGAGGAAGCAGCGTCCTGTTCTCGCAGTGGGCTGCACAGGACAGCTGTCTGCCTGTTCGTCTCAGCCTGACCTGCGGCCTTACTCTAGAGGGGGCCTCCCACTGGCTCCTCTCTGGTTTTCCCTAGACACGCCTCTTCCTACCCAACTCCTCAACCTTCCCCTCCTCTGGCCATCTCCACCCGCCGCCCCACCCCCATCTCCCCGCAACAGCTAGAGTGACTGTGCTGCTCTTGCTTGTATCCTGCTCGTGGACCCCTCATGCTCCAGATGAAGTCAGGACCCTCAGCCGGGCCCATGGGACCCGCCTCCAGGCTCCAGGCTGCTGGTAGCACCGCCCTGGTTCCCCTCCCTCTGCCAGCCCTGACAGAGTTCAGTTCCTCGAATGAGTCTGCCACTCAGCAAATGCCTCCAGGTCTTTGCACACACTGTTCCCTCTTCCTAGAACATGCTTTCATCTCTGAGTTCTTTCATTCCCCAGGCTGGCCTGTGTCTCGCACCTCCGTGCACCCATGCTTCCCACGTCCTGCCAAAACACTGGTTAAAACCCTGAGGGTAGTTGGTGACCTGCTTCCCCGTTACTCACTCACTCATAGGGCATGAAGTACCCCACACACACATCCCTCAGGGAGGGGCCATGTCTGTCCTGTGCTTCTGGTGCTGAAGGAGGGGCACCCTCGGACAGGGAGAGGAGCCTGAGGCGGTGCTTGCAGTTGAGGGGTTGAGCCTGCACCGCGTGGGGGATGGGCACGGCATCGTGTCCGGACTTCACAGGCGCCGTGCTGTTGTGTGCCTCCCTCCCGCAGTTACAGCTACATGATCGACAACGTAATCCTGCTCATCACGGGCACGCTGCACCAGCGCTCTATCGCCGAGCTTGTGCCCAAGTGCCACCCGCTCGGCAGTTTCGAGCAGATGGAGGCCGTGAACATCGCACAGACACCCGCTGAGCTCTACAATGCTATTCTGGTGGACACGCCCCTGGGTGAGTGGCCCTGGCGGAGGAGGGAGAGGCGGGCAGTGGCATCAATGTTAGTGCCTCCGGGTGGGGTTTTTTGGACCCCTGGGGGCAGCCTGGAGCCAGAAAGTAAGGCCCACCCATGCCTGCTTACCTTTTTCTTCCGGTCCACCTTGCCTCCCATTCTCTTCTCCTCGCCCTGCCTCCTGCTCCCTTCCTGCTGCTTTCACTGGGCCAGGCAGACTACCCCCAGGGCCTGACTCAGCCGATCTAATTTTGTGAATCTGGCTGATTCCTCAGAATGCAGAGGAAGGCTGAGCTCAGGGGGCCTGGGTCCCTCAGAGTCTTGGGAGCTCTGACAGACTGTGGCCCTAAGCTGGGCTGTAGTGACTTGCTGCCCATGTGGCAGAGGAGGGACGCAAACAGCTTCACTTGCTCCACCAAGCAGGTCCCAGGGGCCAAGTCAGGCAGTGTCCAGCAGGATGCAGAGTTCATGTCAGAAGCCAAGGAAGGAAGGAGAACTGGGAGCTTCCTACAGGGCCCCGCCTAGGCAGCATTGGCTCCTGCCTGCCTTGGAGGGGGGCTGGAGAGGAGGCACTAAGGCTATCGCCAGCTAGTGTCCTCACAGCCAGCATCCTAGTCCCCAGCACACCACCTCCAGGAAGCTGCCAGGATTGTACAACTGGGCCCAAAGCTGCACTTAGTCCTGCACTAAGAGGCATAGGCCTTACCTGCTTGGCCCTATCTACACAATATCTTATCTCTCATGATAACTCTGAGCTAGCTCTAGGCTGTTGGTGGCTTCTTCAGGTTCTCCATCTCTAAAAAAGAAACAGACCAGTGAGTCCATGAACTCCCGGGAGATCAAAGGGCTCTCTTCTGCTTTGGCCTCTAATGCCAGCCCTTAAATGGTTCCCTGGTCCCTGCTCACCCAGCTGTCATACTCAGGCCTTGTTCTGAGGAAAAGGAGTTTTCCATATGTGGGCCCCAGGCCCTCCTGGGAGATGCAGAGAAGTGAGCGCCAGGCCTTGAATCCACAGCTGCCCCTGGAGAAGGGAGGATGTCACGGCCTCTTATGCAAGCCTGTCTTTGGCATGATCTGAGCTTGGGTCTGCCCCAGAGGCGATTAGATCATGTTATGGCTGGCCGCCTCCTTATAAATCAATTTTAGTAGCAAGAAGGCAAGAGAAGCTCAGGTCAGTATACATGGCCTGGAGTATGGCTTCGGTCACTTCTAAGGCAATAGTCTAGGCCAGGTTGGTGCCCCCCCCCCCACTTCCCAGCCAGATGGGCCTTGTGGCAGGGGTCCTCTGTGCCCTGCAGGGGGAGTTGAACATCAGCAGGATTCTTGCCTAGGCTGAGAGTCCGCTTGCCCACCCCTCATACCATGTCTTTCTTCCCCAGCGGCTTTTTTCCAGGACTGCATCTCAGAGCAGGACCTCGATGAGATGAACATCGAGATCATCCGCAACACTCTCTACAAGGTATTGCCCCTGGGCCTGATGGTGGTGGTGAAGTAGGTTGGTGGGGCCCGTGGGCATGGTGGGCTGATTTATTGGGGTGCTGGGACAGCACATGGGGCTTCTTTCCCAGGGGCTTATCTGCTCACTTTCTGGCTCCCGTGACTGGCACAAGACTGCATGGAACAGGTTCTCCATCCCTCGGGCCCAGATAAAATCAGCAGGAATGGCTAGGGCTCCTGGATGGCCACTCCCCCTGCATCCAGGAGGGTCACTGGCCACCACCCAGGCGGCTCACCCAACCTGGACTGTTGCCAGCCAGGAGCACCTGAGCATGGTGGGAGAGGGACCCAGCCAGGTGTAGCCAGATCCCTGTGTCCCTCTCATTTTACTGGGTCTAGGGCCGGTGCCACATGCCACCATCTTCAACCCTACCCACCTTCTGCTTCCCATCAGGCTATGCACAAGGTGATGACCCCTGAAAATAGAGTGGGCTTGGGATTCCTGGGTCAGCACTGCCCCGGCTCAAAGAGGTTAGGAGCAGGCTTGGGAGCCAGGGAAGGGTGCTGGACAGGGACCAGTGAGGACTGTTTGGGGCAGACTGGGCTCTGGCCATAGTGAGGACCTCTGATGGGTCAGCAGTGGGCAGCCCCTGAAGGGGGCCTGAAGATAGATAACACTTGCTGACAGCCCTGCTGACCTAACCCTGAGAACATCTGTCTCTTGGATCTTTACAACGAGGCTCTGCTCCTGCCCTGCTTGGGGCGAGGTGGCCAAGACAGTGGCAGCCTGAGCCCACGCCCTCCAGTCTTGCTGTGGGGGTCTGGGCCAGAGGGCAGGGCGGGTATGCCGTGGGTGAAGGGCCCACCTGGAGGTTGTAGTAGTGGAGGCACAGGGCCAGCACATGCAGAAGCCAGTGTGGAACACGAGCCAAGTGGCAAGCAGTTCGCTGTGGAAGCGCCGGTTCCGGCTGGACAGTGGGAGGTAGACCTGGAAGGAAAGGGTCAAGTCAGGCACAGGAGCAGGTCCCCCGGGGCCTTGAATGTCAGGCCAGAAGTTTGACTTTACCCTGTAGGCAGGGTCAGCCAGCGAAGATTTTCAGCAGGGCAGAGTATCATCAGAGTTTGGAGGACAGACCAGAGGGGATGAGATGAGAGGTAGGAAGGCTGTTGGCTTCTGTACTCCTTGGGGCTGCTCTGGGAGCTAGGTAGGCATCAGTATGCCAGTTGAAAGATGAGATTGAGGGCTCAGAGAAGTGGGGTGGGCTGCCTGAAGCCACAGCCACTGGCTAGACCCTGGGCAGCACTGTGCATTGCGCGTGGCTCAGCTTGTCTGCAAAGCAAGTACTCTCGTCTGCTAATAGGGAGATGGGGAGGGTGGGGCAAGGGGCGTGGTGGGGGCAGGCAGTCAGAGCTGGCTCTCGTGTGTTAGTGCTCACAACCCACCCCCCCTGCAATGCTCCTGGCTCCTTGCCGGGTTCCCTGCCCTGAGGCAGGGTGAGGGGTGAGGCTGTCCCCTCGGCCTCACCCATGCCCTCACCAGGCCTGACTGGTTCTAGCTGGAGTCACTGGCGAGGGCTGCCTGGGCACCAGTTGTAAACACCGACCCACTGCTGTGGGCACCATGCCAGGCCCGTCTGTCAGGCCATGTCCCAGTCCAGTAGCCACAGATGGGAGATTACACGGACCCCCAGTAGTGGGTGGGAACCGTGGGCAGCTGGTGCAGCAGACGTGGGCTGGCAGACGCCAGGGACAGGGTGGGGGGCGGGAAGGTGACCTTGGTACTTGGGCCTTTGGGGTCTTGCCAGTTTCTTCAGCTGCTCAGCCTCCAGAAGAAAGTCTGGGCCTGTTCCACGAGCCTCCACCACCCTGGGGTCAGTCTTTTCAGGGTCAGCCCAGCTCGGCAGAGGCTGGTGGCTTCCCCCACGGAGAGGAACTGTAGGCCCCTCTGGGACAGGCCTGAGATTTGGACACACCCAAGTTGGCTGGTCATAGGGAAGGAGATGGCTGGGGACGGTCCCAGGGGAGACTAGTGCCACTAATCCATGGTAGGATTGGCAGCTGTTTCTATCACCCAAGTCCTCTGCTGTGCTGGGGTCCACTCTCCCTTCCCAAGCTGCTTACTCCTTAACTTGTTCTAGACTTTTGTTTCCTGTGACTCAGTGGTCCCCTTGGGTCTTCCCCTGAGCCCAGCTTGCCCAGTGCTGCTGGCCAGGCTTGGCCTGGGTTCGTGGACCCCTGGGTCTCATCTTACTTCCTCTCTCAGGCCAGTAGAACCTGTGCCCATATCAGTAGGTGGAATGTTCTCAGGAGCTTGGAGGGCAGACCTCCACACAGAAAGCTTCCCCAGCTCTCACCCCCAGCTCAGAAGCCTGTGGAGCCAGAGTCCCTGTGGCTGGGACCCCAGAGGATCTGAGCAGAGGAAGCTCCCCGGAGGTCATGAGACTATGCCCCCCTTCCTTGACACGAAGAGGTTCAGGGAAGGAAGCCTGGGCCTGGCTGGTCTCAGGAGTTAGTCCTGGGAGGGACCTGAGGCCTGGGCTGACCTGGCTTCTCCTTATGCCCAGCAGATCCAATTTGCCTGGGCAGCAAGTACTTGTTCCCACTGGCAGCCTGAGTGTCCAGCCATCGCACTGCAGGGCTGACGTCCGCGCAGGCAATAACCATCCCTCACCAGGACCTGGGTTGACAGTCTGGTTCCTGCTGTGTGGCTGCCTAGGGGATGGGAAGAGGAGGAGGTGCTCTTTAAGGTGGGGTGCTGAGCGGGGCTGGGGCACCCAATCCAGGCCATCTCCGTGAGCTCTCAGGAGTCACCATTCTTCACTAGCCCGTCAACATGTGATTTTCTGAGGCTGAGGGGAGATTTGGAGAAAAGGCAGGCAGAGAAGCAGGGGCAAGACAGGACCCCTGTCTGAGCCTGATCCTCTGTGCGATGAGGGTGTGAGGGGCACTGCACCACGAGGCAGACAGTGGGTCAGAAATTGCTCTGTTGCTGCTGGGTGGGGGAGGCAGCAGGCTACTGCTGCTTGGCTGATGCCCAGTGAAAATCTGTGACTGCTTTGGGGGCTCTGACATGGGGGCTGCCCTGGCCAGTCCACTGGTATGATATTTGGATTAACCATGAAAGGAGCTGGGGAGGGAAGAAAGGAACTGTGAGGGGGAAGCCTGGCAGACCCATCTTGAGTCTCCCTGCCTAGGCTGATTGAGCCCCATGCCCTGCACAGGCCTACCTGGAGTCCTTCTACAAGTTCTGCACCCTGCTGGGCGGGACCACAGCTGACGCCATGTGCCCCATCCTGGAGGTGAGTGCTTGCCCCCTTCCCACCTGCTGATGCCCTGGCCCTGGCATGGGGAAGCCCTGATAACTGACTGGCTACTGCCTCCCTCCCATTCTGTCTCTCCGGCACCTGTGCATTGGCCCCACAGTTTGAAGCAGACCGCCGCGCCTTCATCATCACCATTAACTCCTTCGGCACAGAGCTGTCCAAGGAGGACCGTGCCAAGCTCTTCCCACACTGTGGACGGCTCTACCCGGAGGGCCTGGCCCAGCTGGCTCGAGCTGATGACTATGAGCAGGTCAAGAACGTGGCCGACTACTACCCAGTGAGTGCCCTGACTGTGGGACGGGGGGCAGACCTGTTGGCACCCACATGCCCACCCCACACCCAACAGCACCCTTGTGCTCATGCCTCCCTTCCCCCTCACCCCCCGCCCCCGCTCTCCCGGGTCAGGAGTACAAGCTGCTTTTCGAAGGTGCGGGCAGCAACCCTGGAGACAAGACCCTGGAGGACCGATTCTTCGAGCACGAGGTGAGTGCTGGGCCTGCTTGTTGAAGGGAGGGGTTGTTGGCCCAGGCCTGACTCCAGTCCCAGCCCCTTGGACACCACTCTTTCCTTTGTCTGCAGGTGAAACTGAACAAGTTGGCCTTTCTGAACCAGTTCCACTTTGGTGTTTTCTACGCCTTTGTGAAGCTCAAGGAGCAGGAGTGTCGCAACATTGTGTGGATTGCCGAGTGCATCGCCCAACGCCACCGCGCCAAGATTGACAACTATATCCCTATCTTTTAGCACCCTGGACCAAGGCTTCCCATAGTGCGTGTGTACATGTGTGTGCTGTAACAAAGCTCACGGCTCATCTACCTGCCCTGGGGGTAGCACACTGTCCTTGTGGCTGCCCAGCTTCCCTGACCCTCTCCGAGACTGCTTTTGGGCCTGCAGGGGGGCTGGCCACCTGCTTCCCACACTAAGGATGGACCAAGCCACAACCTCCAGAGCAAGGAGGCCCCCTCAGCCCTGTGTTTACAGCCACTGACGTGTCTGAGAAGCATGTGGTCACTTTTGTGTCCCTCCCTAACCTGAGAACCCCTGGGGGCAGCGTGAACCTTCTCTTCCCTCAGTGGGCCCCCCAGAGCCATGGCCAGGATAAAGTATGTGTGTTCTTGGGAAATGAGGGAGTAGCTCTGCCCTTCCAAGATAATAAAAACTTCTCTAAGTCCAGCAGTCTTCTGTCTTCTTTGGGCCCTGGCCCCTCTCCCAGATCCCCAACTTGCCTCAGGTCTCCTGAGCTCCCCCCCCCTCCCCCCAAGCCTTCTATCTCCCTTCCTCAGGTGGCAGCCCTCGGCTGGCCTTGTCCCTGTGCAGCCAGGCTCCTTGGGGGGTGGGAGGTCAGTGGCAGATGGTCCCTTTCTCTGCTGGAGGCTCCAACAGGCCCATGGAGTGGGCTTCTGACTCTAGAGGGCCCCCAGGGCTCCCTGTTCGCTTCACTGAGCACCACAACTCCCTGGGCTGGGGTCATTACCCCCATTTCACTCTGAGGAAACCTATGGATATGTGATCTGCCCAAGGTCACTGAAGGGGGTTGGATGTAAACCAGGTCCTGTGCCCAGAGCCTCGGCCCCCATGCTGAGCCCTGGGGGTTGCCCAGGCAGTTCCCAGTCTGTCACACGGCCACAGCCTGTCATCTAGGCAAACAGAGCATCTCCCCCATTCTAGGAGATATAAAAATTTGTCTTTATTAAAAAAGTGGCTATCAGGTGAGTATGTAACCTCCCTGTGGCTTGGGGGGCTTGAGGTGGGTGGTCAGGGCCCTAATCCTTGAGCCAGTCAAGAAACAGGATTCACCCTTCAAATCACAGCACTGAGGCACTGGTGCCAAGAAATAATCCTGAGGGGGTCCCCAACGTACCTCTCCTTAGTTTGCAGAGGCACTGTAGGACCCTGGCTAAGGCTCTAGTTAAGCCTTCAACTAAACTCCCCATCCAGCTGGGTTCTGCAAGCTGCATGGTGGAGCCTTGTGCCCAGGAGGGTCTGTTTGGGCTCATGAAGCAGGAGAGGCCCAGAGATTCACTGGAAAGCCTTCATCTCACCAGGCCTGGCCTGTGCCATCGGCAGTGCATGGGGTTGGAGTCCTTTGGGCCAGGCTCTAGGGCCAACCTGGGGGTCAGAATACCTGGAGGAGGAGCAAGGGCACAAGGAGCCTCCTTTGCTGGAGCTGCTCTCTGTGTGCCCTGCTCACTGGGCAGTGGGAGAGGGGTCCGGTCTAGGGCCTTGGTCCTGGGCTATGTCCTGGGCAGACGTCAGGCCAGGCTGGCCAGCCTGTAGTGCTCTCGGCACAGAGGGACTGATGAAGAAGGACTGTAGGAAACGCTGCCGCAGGCCCTCAGGCAAGTAGTAGTGGATGAAGTATATGAGCCCCAGGCCATGACCTGGGTAATAGCGGCGGCGTGGCTGGGCCGCCAGCAGTGCATCGGTGATGGCATCTACCACCGGGCTGAGGTCTGGCAGAGCCTGGCTCAGAGAGTGCAGGAACTGCCTATTCAAGTGCTCGATGTAGTCCTCACCATAGGCCTGCAGCAGCTCTCCTGGTAGGGTGGCCAGCAGCTGCTGCTTGCGCTCTTCCCACCGGTGCACATCCTTCACTGACTCTGTGGAAGGAGTGCCAAGGCCAGAGTGGGGTCAATGAGGGAAGCCAAAGCCAGACCCAGGTCTCTAACTCACAACCTGAGACCCGCCCCCAGCCAAAGTCACGCCCATTCCTCAGATCCAGTCCCACTCCAGAGAAGACCACACCCCCTCGCCTTCCTCCTCCTCCCCCCACAAGCCCCACCCCCAAACCCCTGAGCCTCACCTGTCTTGAAGCAGGCAGGCTGGATGATGCTGACCTTGACACCCCAGGGCAGAAGTTCACAGCTAAAGTTGCCCATAAGCAACGTCAAGGCCGCTTTGGAGGTCCCATAGGCAGCCAAGCATGGAAACGGCATGTCTCCTGGGGATGGATTGGGAGTGGGGGATGCCTCAGCCTGGGCCAGGGACTCCAGTATCTCTCCCCGCCCAGCAGAGGCATCTTTTCTGCTCCAGTGCAGGAGGACCCTCACCTGCTGGGCTGCTCACGGTCACAATGCGACCACTCGAACGACGCAGCAGTGGCAAGAGGCCTTTGGTCATCTCTAGTGCACCAAAGAAGTTCACCTCCATGCAGGTGCGGAACGTGGCCACTGGACACAACTCTGCATCCGCCACAAAGATGTTCTGGCCTGCGTTGTTGACCAGGCCCCACAGACCTGAGGGCATGGAGCCAGGAGGGAAGCTGCGGGTCAGTTCTGCAGCACACCTCCAATCCTGGCCCCCTCACATCTGCCCAGCCATGCCCTTTCCCGGCGAAGTTGAGTCTACTGACCAGTGCTGGCGGTGTGGACCTTGGTGAACTCCAGCACACGGCTAATGTCTGCTGGCTTGGTCAGGTCCATCTGCAGCAGCTTCAGACGAGAAGAACAGCAGGCACGTAGCTCTAGGGCACCAGGGCTATTCAGATCCAACACGGTGGCCAACACTGTGAAGCCCATGGTGTCAAGCTTCTTGGCTGTCGCGTTGCCAAAACCAGAGTCACAGCCTGGTCAGGGAAGGAAGGACAGCCAGTGAACTCCACTATGGTCCAGTTCAGCCTGAGACAACCCAGGGTCACCATGGCCTGGATGGGATCCAGGCTTCTGACTCCTGACTTCGCAGCATCAGCAGCCCTCCCCTCCTAGGCCCATCTCTGGGAGGCTTGGACCCTCTGGCTGAGCTCCTGAGGACCAAATCTTTCAAAGCTGTCATCGCCCTGACCCCTCATAGCTACCCTATCAAAGGTGGCTTATGATCCCCACCTTACAGATGAGAAAACTGAGACCTAGTAATGCCAAGTTGCTTCCCTCAAAGTCACTCAGCTGGCACACAGTAAGGTCAGGACTCTGTTGGTAGGTCAGCCAGTCCCAGCTGAGACCCAGCCTCAGCCCTGATGTCCTTCTGTCTGCTTGAAATCAGGCCTCAGCTTGCATGTGCAGATATTACTTCCCAGCCTCCCTTCCTTTCTCATTGTCCTTGCCCAGCATGCTTCCTCTTACCTGGACACTGAAGCAGCCCCCCTTTTTAGTCCTGTGCCACCTTGTCCCCTTGAATCCATTCTCTGCCTAAGTAGCCCGAGGGATCCTTCCCAAAATGACAATACCCTCTGCTTTTGAAAACCTCTCCAAGGCTCCTCACAGCCCTTAGGATAAAGCCAAAGTGCTCTGTTCCCATCATCTAGGCCCTGTACAACCTGAGCTCCACCTTCCTTTCCAGTTCAGCACCCTCTACTATTGTTCCAGGCTCCAGGCAAGCTGGAGGCCCATATCCACCTTATGCTTGACCCTTGGAATTCCAGTGAATGGCAACATTGGGACATTCTCTGAGCCTCAAATAACTTGCCCCCAGGACAGGGTCACAGTGGATGAAGATAAGAACAGACCTGCATTAGAATCCCTTCCCACATCCATCAAATGTGATCTGAGGTCAGTTACCACTCTTGGAGGCTTAATTTCCTGGTTTTGGTATGCAGAGAGATAAACCACGAGGCAGAGCCAGTGTAGGGGTCTAATAAACTCCGGCTCCCTTGATTGTTCCCATTCCAATCCAGCTCCTTGGGTGGTCAATAAGAGGGGGTGTGGGGAGGGGGGTGACCAGTGAGGAAGGAAGCTCTTTAGAGCCTGCCCCCATGGTGGTCCTGCTGATCAGAGGTTACAAAGTGGTTCTGCACAACCAGCTCCCCTCTTCTCTCTGTGGAGAGAGAAAACAAAGCCAGGGGGCTGCAAGCTGGGCTTTGTGTAGCTGGGAGCCCCCTAGCCAGCCCCAGCTGAGGGGTGCTTCCTGGGCAAGTCTGGCTGGAGGAGGGGAGTGAGCACGTGTGTGTGTGTGTGTCCCCACTTGCCTAAGCTCCCGTCCAGAGCAGACAAGCCCTTCATGGGGAAACTAAGGCCTCCCAGAACCTCAGCTCTGAGGTCCCAACACAATCACCCACACCTTTCATGCCCTCTTGCTCACCTGTACACACTCAGAAACCTACGCATACCTCCAATCTACCTGCAGAGAGGCATGAACAACAATGGCTCACTCCCATGAGACCCGTACTGCCCAGCAGTGCACACATGTGCACACAAAGCACCCAGTCGCTCAACCCAAACCCTGACCCCAAACCCTGACCCCAGGGCTGAGCTCCCCAATAGCCTTGGCTAGGGGTTCTCAGGAGCTTTCCCAGGGAGGGGTGGGTGGCAGCTCTGGCAGGCTCAAGGCACAGTGTTCCTAGCAAGTGAGGCAGGGCCTGGTCACCTACTTGTACTGCAGTCAGTAGTGAGTGAAGAAACCCCAGAGTTTAGGGGTATTGGGAAGCTTGGAGGTCAACTCTCGATATTTAGATGGGGTGGGTTGGGCAGTCTGCTTACCCTCCTCCATTTCGGGACTTTGCAACCAGAACTGAGTCTCACCTCACTCTCAAGCTCAAGGCTAGGAGATGTAACAGTAGTGGCACAAGGACCTGAGGTGAGATCCCAGGAAAGACTGCCTGGGTCACTAGTATCTGAAGATGACCTGAGTCCTGAGGAGGCTAAACTCACTAATTAGAAGGCAGGAGGGGAGCTGCCCTGTCCTTGGGGGCAGGAGCTCTTTGCTTTCATACCAGGAGGTCTGTCATCTCTCCTTCCTCAAACCACTAAAACTGGGGTCCCTTGAAACTTCTCACTCTACCCTGAACTCACATCTCTCCCACCCAACCTGAGCCATCCTCTATTTCCACCATCTTTACTGAAGCTCAAACCCTCCTGCTACCTTCACCTCAGCACATTCTGGCTTCTTGCTGGGCATTCAAGGCCCCTTCCAAGAAACAAATGCTTGTCTCACCACATCTCAGCAGCCAGACTGCTTACTGACTGCCCCCCTCCCCCCCAGGCCATGCTCATTCCTGCCTCAAGCCTCTGTCCCACACCCTTTGTCTGATCTAAAACACCTTCCACACTCTTACCTATCTCCACCTATCTTGAGGCCCAGCTCAAGGATGGCCTCCTCTGGGAAGTTTTCCCAGCTTCATCTGATCATGCAGGGCCCCCTACTGGACTGAGGTCTCTGAGAAGCCACTCACCAGTGCAAGAGAGCAGAATCCCGAGCACCTGTCCAAAGCCATGGGGGTTAGGGGACAGACCAGGCTCCCCCTCCCCAATACAGTAGAGCTAGTAGTGTGCTGTACAGTAGTGCCCCTGACTTTTCTCTCCCTCTCCACTTCCGGGTCTCAGCTCCTCCTTCCCCCCTTCTGGTGATAGATTTATTCTATCACAGGTGGTCAGAGCTCAACAAGGTGGTCAGAGGCACCTGAGCCCAGCTCTCTAAGACCTCACCTCTTTCCCAGGCACAGAGGACCAGGAGGAATGGTAGTGGCGTAATGAGTGCAGACTCTGGACAACTCCTTCACAGTCTGGGTCTGGGGGGTGGGATCTGAGGGGTGGCTGAATGTCCAGCTGTCCCTCATGATGACCTCAAGCTTTTCTGAACTCTAAGGAGCCCAGCCAATTGGGAGAAGGGGGTCCCAACTCTCCATTTAAGCCTATTCCTCCTGGTCCCAGGGAAGAGACAGGACCTCCCACGTGGTGATGTTAGGCAGAGTTCAAGGCGGTGAAGATTCTCTTTAGTGGCTCAGAGCAGTGTCCTCTGTCGGAAGACTGCTGTGTTGGAGAGGGACATAGCATTAACCCCAAGCTCCAGGAGGCTCCTTTCGCAGTCTCCCCTGCGCACCTGCCCACTCCCTGCCTCCTTTTCCCTTCAATACTCCCCAAAGCCGTAGGTAGTCAACCCGGACTTGGGGAGGTGCTCTGCGCTTCCTACTTGGCTGGCCCCCTGAACCCAGGGGTGAGAGGCTTCCCCACTTCTCGGCTGGGGGTCCCGCGTTGACTTGGCATGCCTACAGGGAGCCCTCTGGGTGACCGGTCCCGCCCTCGAACCGGGAGTCGCCGCGCTCCGCGCCCCGCGCACTCACCGGTGATGAGCACCGCGCGAGTCGCCACGGGCAGGCGCTGCGGGCGCGCCAGGCGGGACAACACGATCCAGCCGGTGGCGGCCAACACGACAAGTGCGGCCAGCGGGGGTAGCAGGCGCTGGCACAGCCAGTCGAGCGCGGCCAGCAGCACCAGCGCCGCCAGCAGCGGGCAGCCCAGACGCAGGTCTGCGCGCAGTAGCTGCAGCAGCGCACGGGCCGCCACGAGCAGCCAGGCGCCGCCCGACGGCCAGGGCCAGCTTTCCATGGCGACCGGGCCTGGAGAGCAGGGATTGGGACTCGGGGCTGGGGCGCGGGGGTGCAGCAGGACACCGGCCAGGAGCGGAGGGGATACTGGCTTTCTCTGTTCGCCCTCGGGCCGAGCTTTTAAAGAGCCCCGGGGGCGGGGGCGAGGGCGGAACGGAGGCGGGGAAGGGGCGGGGCTTTCCTTTACTTCTCTGCCAGCACCCCGTGCCGGGCAGGTGCCCCCACCTCTACCTCCCGCCCTCTGCCCCGCCCCCGCGGTCAGATCCTCTTTCGAAGAAGCCGGAACCAAGTCCCAAAGTTGCTGCTCAACTGCTCAACTTGCCGCTGGCCGTGCCCGGGAGAGGTGTGGTAGGTCTAGTCCTAGTGGCCGGCATGCGCTCACTCCTGCGCTGGTCCGCTGAGCCACGACTGCCAGGTGAGCACATCCACAGCTCACACTTGCTTGGGACACCTGAGGACACACGCAACCTCCATCCTCAGATTGACCGCACCTCCGCGGCCAGCCGGGCCTGCCAGAATACCTCGGGGAACCAGCCGCCCTCACCCGGCAGCCTGGGCCAACGCCGGCGCATACACCACGCCTTGAGCTGCCGCAGGTGCCTAGCACACCCGCTCACACCTAAGCTACCCGCGGCCACCGACCGATTTGGGGCTGGGGGCCGGGTGGAGCAGGGTGACAGACCAGATTCTTGGGAGTCTCTGCCCCGCCATCCCCCACTTCCTTCCACTTTCCAGCCCTGGGTGTGCAGCAAACCCCCTCCCCACACTCCGCCTCCCCCCCACCCCTCCTGCCACACAAGTGTACATGTGTGGGCCTGAGTGTGTGGAGGGGGTTCTGAGGAAGCATCTAGGCCTCCCATTAACTCCAGCCCACTCTCCATCCAACTCCAGGGACCCCAAGAGCCAGGCCAACGGGGACACCCGGGGAGTCAGTGAGGGCAGCCTCTAGGACAGGGTGATCCCTGTCCTGCTCCCAGGATCCCCCGGGGTATAAAGTGAGTGAGTGTGGGTGCATTTCCCTGCCTGTGTGTATGAAGGTCTGTGTCTGTGTGTGGCCCTGTGGGCCCTCACTCTGCCCACCCTGGTGGCTGGCACCCTGTGCTTGGCATCCTTGCCAGGCTCTGCCATCACAGGAAAGTGGTGCCAGTACCTCACTGCCAGGCCCTGTGCTGAGGTCGGTAGGTCAGCCCATGGTGCAGGGGGTCCCTGCTTCTTCTGAACCCTTGCCCAGTGCCTCATCTATGCCCACACTAGGTCCTGGGTGGGGGTCATGGACCCCTCCCAGTTATGTTGCCCATTCTCTATCTTAGATGCTCAGGTTCTGTGCCAGGGCTTCAAGGCAATGCCTCCTCAAAGCCTTCTCTGCCACCCAGGCATGGCCCCCTGGTGAGCCAGGGTTATCTCAGGAGGAGCAGGGAGACAGACCTACTTAAGCGGTCCTTCCCAGAGCCACTTATGAGCTTCTACTTCTTCCTCCTTCTACTGTAAGTACGGATGACAAGTTAGCCCTGGCCCTGGGAAGCAGGGCTGGGGAGGATGTGTGTGTCTGACCCTGGGTACATGACCTTGTGTACCTGTGTATGCCTATATTTGTGTACACTCTGTCCATGGACTCCATAGCTTGTCCATACACAAATGACATGTCTGTCCCCATGCCATGACCCTGTGTATGCATGTAAGCACATTTGTGTATGTGTGTTTTTTGGTGACTCCCTTGGTCTGCGTCATTCTTCAGAAACTCAGGGAAACATTAATTTTCCAAAATGTGCTGACTCCTATCGTTCTGAACCTGTGGCCCAGTCTCACAGGTGGACACAGCAACTTGTCTGACCTGGCATCCCAATATGAGCCATAGACTCTGGGTTGTGGGACCCACACCCTCCCAGCTTTAATCACCCTACTGAGAGTCTGAGTGTAGTTTCTGCAGCTTCAGACCATTAAGTCCCTTGGGACTGTGGAGGGGATGTAGAGGAGAGGATTGGGGAGGGGGGGGTGTCTCAGGCAGCCTTCAAGGTTAAGGCCACACAGGTAGTACCAGAGCTTGCCAGAGTAGGAGTCAAAGGGCAGGGAGTTGGGGAACGTCCCTGGTGGTCCAGTGGTTGAGAATCCATCTGCCAATGTAGGGGATACAGGCTTGATCCCCGGTCTGGAAAGATTCCACATGTTATTGGGCAACTAAGCATGCGTACTGCAATTACTGAGCCTGCGCTGTACAATAAGAGAAGCCACCGCAATGAGAAGCCTCCACAGCACAACAGAGAGTAACCCCCGCTCGCCGTAACAGAGAAAGCCTGTGCGCAGCGACAAAGACCCAGCGAAGCCTAAATACATACATTTTTAAAAAAAGGGTAGGGGGAAAAAAAAAAAGGGTAGGGAGGTGGAAGCTGGAGAGCAAGGTGAGGAGAGTCTGAGAAACAAGATCCTACACTCCTGGGAAGGAACCATGAAGGACCCTGACCCACTGGGAAGCCTGGGATGGGGAGAGAGACTTGCTGAGAGAGGAATTTAGGGAATTGTCTTTGATTGTGGAGTGTAGGATGCTAGGATGGGTGGGGCATGTTTCCAGTTCAGCTTCTGGGACACTGCGCCACCTGAGACAGAAATATTTGTCTTGTGTGGTTTGGGTCTCGTGGATGATCTGCCACATTCGTATTTAACACCCCTCTCTCCCAGAAATTCCTAGGCCAGGCCTTCCTCCCAGGATCTATACTCCAGCTCATTGTGGCCACCTGAGCAGCTGACTCCTTACCTCTCATCAGCTGGAAACATTCTGGAAGTAGAAGGAAGGTGGTTTAGGCAGTCATGTCTGGGAGGGGCTGGCCCAGCCCTGTCTGAGGCCTGGTGCCAGGCTGTTCCTGCCCAAGGGCAGAGAACCAGCCTCTGCCAGAACCAGGAGTCTGGGCTGGCAGGGCCCTCCAGGGAGGAGAAGGGGGAGCAGAGGGCAGGAGCCCCAGCAGATAAGGGAGGGTTGGCAGGGGCAGAGAGATGAAGGGCAATCGGAAGGAGCAGAGCCGCTGAGCCACCTCACCCCTAGGCCCTCAACCCACAGTCTCCCTTGGTCTCTCCCCTGCCCTCACCACCCACCCGACTCCTTAATCAGAAACTTGGTGAGCCAAACCTTCAGCATGCCCCAGGCTCTGGAGGGCCAAGCGGTGGGTGGGGGGCTGGCAGTCTGGTTCGGCTGCTCCAGCTGAGTCCAGCAGCTCGCTGGCGCCCTCTGCTGGCCTTTGGGGGAGGGCACGGCTCTGAAGGGGGTAAAGTGAAGGTGACTGTTGGATGTGAGGATGGGAGGAACAGAAATCCAGGATGGGGCCTGCCAAGTGGCAGTCTCTAAGAGCTTACTTTCTGTTCTCTTAACACACTGCGTTTCTGGAGCCAGGCGCTCCACATCACCCCTTTCTTCCCCTGTGGTTAGGTTCAGAGGCAGCAGAATCCCAAGGAGGCCCTGCTCTCTGCTCACCCCTGGCACCCCATCACTCCTCCCTCCTACACAATGGCAGAGAGGAACCTCTTTCTGCCGATGGCCACCCCCTTTCCCAAGTTCCACACTGCATCCCTCCCCGTCCTCAAAGACAGCAAACTTGTATTGTGTTCCTACTGTGTGCCAGGCCCCGTGCTGGGCACTGTGGCCATAACAACTAACCACTGGGTCCTTTCTGGCAGCAGGCACCCCAGTTTGGCTCTGCCCTCTCCCCCTGGGAACCACCATAAAGAACTTATCTCACTCAATCCTGTATCCCTTTCCCCAACATTGTTCTCATACTCTCCTCCCCACGACACCCGCCCCCTTTCTCAGCTGCATTTCTCCAAAACTGTCTCCAGTCACCATCTTCACTCTCCTCTCTCCCACTCTAGCTCTGAGTCAGCTCCAGCTCCTGGCCACGCCAGAGGTCACCAGTGAATGACAAGCTAGTCCTCAAATACCAAGGACACATCTCTGCTTTCAGTTAACTCCTCTGTACCCTGGGCCCTTTCTCCCTTCGGCACCTGCAAAGCCACAGCTACTGGGTTCCCTCCTACCTGTCCGGCTCTCCCTCCTGGCCTCCTTCATAAGCTTCTCTTCCCTGTGGGTGAACCTCTGGCTGTGGAGGGCTCATGCTCTGTCCCTCCCCCACCATGAGCTCATCTTCCTACTCACATGTTGGTGACTCCCACGCTCCTTTCCAGCCAAGACACTTAATTCCAGGCCCACATGTCCGTCTGCCCCTGGATGCCTCCCCTGGACACCCATAGGCCCATTACACTCAGCATGTCCAAAACTGGTCTCATCATCTTCTCTAGTTCTGGGAGCCACACCCTTCCCAGCTCATCTTCAATCTTCATTCCATGCACTGGCCTCCAAACCTCTTGCTCTGTCCCAAGCCTTGGGTTGGGTGCAGAGGCCTCACAAGAGCCCTTTGTAGTGGGTGTCATCATTACTATTTTATATTCAAGGAATATAAAATATAACTGAGGCTTCCAGAGGCTAAGAAAGTTGTTCAGGGTCTCAAACTCAGGTTCACCTAAGTCTGAATCTTGGACCAGCCCCAAGATTCAAACTCAGGTATACCAGAGCTCGAAGACTGAGAACTGTGTTAACACAGAGCTACATTTGCCATGCACTTCCCTGCTGGCTCAGTGGTAAAGAATCCACCTGCCAATGCAGGAGATGCAAGGTCAATCCATGGGTCAGAAAGATCCCCTGGAGAAGGAAATGGCAACCCACTCCAGTATTCTTGCCTGAGAAATCCCGTGGACAGAGGAGCCTGGCGGGCTACAGTCTATGTGGTCCCCAAAGAGTTGGACACGACTTAGCTATTAAACAACAATGTTTCACCGCCTCTGACTTCATTCTGAGAGCAAAGGAGAGCTGGGAAAGGTCTTGAGTGAATAAGACCCTGTCCTGGTTGGCTCGGAAATGGGTTTGGGGAAAAGGCACAAGGGGAGGCTGGGCGTCCTGTTGGTGCATGCCTGCGAGGGAAAGCAGTCTGTTTTGGACAAACTGAGCCTGAAGTGCTCGTG